AAATCCACCACCTTCCCAGTCCTGGGGATTGAAGAGTATGCGCATGCCAGGGTGGAGTGGGAGGGCAGAAAGTTTTGGGGGGCTTTCTTAGAATTCTGCTGGCCCACAAGGGGCCATGTGGAGAAGATACTTCCTTTCAGAAGCTTCCAGGACTGAAGGAAGAGGCGGAAGGTGGGGAGGAGCCCATATGGATCTCTTCAGCTTCTGGAGCTTGAAGCCCTCAGAGAAGAAAGCCTGGCCCTTTGAAGCCGCACCATGGAGCTGCCTCTCTGGGCCTCACAACGGGCCAGTCCTGCCAACCCTCCTGCACAGGCCCGGAGGCATCTTGGCTGTACCCTCCTCGAGTCTGGCAGGTGAGTCAACATTTGGCTTCCCTCCTGGGCTTTCTTGGAAAGGGCTGTGTTCCAGGTTGGCAGCTGTGCTCGCAGAGAAGGAGGCAAAGGAAGAGCCAAGTTCCGGGAGCCTGGCTGCCAGGCAGGACACCTGGGCCTGCTCTCCCTCGGTCTCTGACAAGGACGGGAGGAAACCCGAGGAAGCCAGAGCGTAGCAGAGCAGAGTGGTTAAAAATCTCGGACTACGGAGACAGGTGGATGACGTGGCCCCTCAAGTTCCCCATCCATGAAATGGGAATGACCATCAGCAGCAGTTCCCACATAGGGTTTGTGATAACTAAGCAGCGTGCTACCTGTGAACCATTTAGCACAATGGCTGGCACATAGAAAGCACCAGTCAAAGCCCAAGCAACACAGCAAAACCTCGTCTTTACCAAAAATCCAAATGTATTAGCCGGGCATGGTGGCATGTGCTTGTAGTCCCAGCTACTCAGGAACTTGAGACAGAAGAATCGCCTGGGCCTGGGAGTTGAAGGCTGTGGCAAGCCATGATCGAGCCACTGCATTCTAGCCTGGTGATGGAGTGAGACCCCCGACTAGGAAAAACAAAGAAAAGAAAGCGCCAGTAAAACCTGCATGGTGGATACTATTAACGAAGGGAAGATGCCTGACTAATAGAGGTTGTTTGACCAGATGGGATTAAAAAGGAGGAAGGGATTAGGTGAAGAGGTCAAGGGCATGACCAAGAAACTCTCATAATACTGGAATGCGAGTTGTTTTTTTTTTTCCAAGAACGACCTATAAACACGCAAAGCCCAATTGCTAAGCCCCTAGGCAGGAGGGATTTTGACTGGGCTGTGCAGTAAACCTGAACACTAAGTTCCCAAGATTCCTGGGTAGCCAGATAGGGTTTCTCCTTCCTGTAGAAATTCTGGAGAGAAGGGCGGGAAAGCAAGGGGGAAACGATTGTGTCAGCGTGTTGTATGCCACATTTGGTGGTAAGGAACAGAAATCCGCCCACACTGGGCAGTAGGGTAACACTTGGGGTACTCATGGTGGGTTTGCTCCACCCTTCTGTACTTTTTTGCTGTATCTTGAAAACCTCCCCCCCACCCCACTGCCACCCGCAACCTGCTCAGCAAGAGTTGAGTCGGTTACTCTGTAGGAAAATAAAGTGAAGACTGCATTTCTTCAAGGGCGGCACAGTGGGAGCATGAAGATCACAGGCTCCCAAGGTTCGCTCCAAGAAGCTGGGAGTTTCTCCAGGCATGATCAAAGCCACTCCTTTGTCTGGTAAAGTCCACCAGACCCCATCGATCACTCAGTTTACTGAGATGTGACCCAGGGATAACGTTCTTTCCCCACCCAAGGGCCAGGACAAAAGCTTTCCAGGACAGGGGGTCCATGGGGTCCCTAGACCCATTGAGAGTGGTCAGTGGCACAAAAATAAGGCCTCCTTCCTGATTAAGGTTGGAAAATTTGGGACCAATGTGAAATCCTCACTGAGTGAGGACCTTGAATGCGTTTAACTCTAAGGAAGTAGACAATCCCATGGACACCCAGCAACGGGAAATCATGCTAGTCAGGCCCAACATTGCTTGCTGGTTCATTCGCTTTTCCCTTTATAGACTGGGACACCCTTTCTCTGCCTTTTTTTTAAAGAGTCAGAGTCTTGCTCTGTCACCCAGGCTGAAGTGCAGTGGCACATTCATAGCTCACTGCAGCGGCACCTTCATAGCTCACAGCAGCCTCGCACTCCTGGGTTCAAGCAGTCCTCCTGCCTCGTTCTTCCAAGTAGCCAGGACTACAGGCACACACCACCCACACCCAGCTAATTTGTTGTGTCTGTAGAGATGAGGGGGTCTCGCTTTGTTGCCCAGGCTGGACGTGCACTCCTGGGATCAAGCGATCCTCTCACCTTGGCCTTCCCAAATGCTGGGATTACGGGCATGAGTCATCGAGCCCAGTTCTCTGCCTTCTTAAGAGATTGCACGTGGCACTAAAGTTGAGACCCCAACCTAGCTCTACCTATGGTCTTTCAGGTCAAGTGCCTAGTACGGTCCAACTGCAATTGTGTGTCTCTTCGTTCACGTTGTTTGAAAGACAAGCTGGCTGACCTATGGGGCTAGGCCTATGGATTGGTTCCTGGTCAGGAGTCTGGCTTCGATATAGTCAGTGATGGGGAGGGATGGGGTCATGTAGCATAGACACGGGTTCTTAGAGCCCCCTCTTTCTTCCAGCAGGTTGTGAGTGACCAGACTCTCAGAGGTGGTCCAAGGGCTTGACAGGCACCCCAAATACCTCCATCACAAACAACCCCCAACCCAACTCAGATTTCAGAAGTTCCTTCTGACGCATCACCACAATGTTCTCGAAATCTAATCTATTCCAGAACATTCCCAGATGGATCAAAAGAAAACTGACGCATCTTTGTAGCCTCTTTTTCTTCCAGAATCAAATCTTCAGTGTTATTTCAAAACTAGCTACACAGAAATCCCATTTTGCAAAACAAATTCTCTTGTGGTTAATTAAATAATTATCTCCCATTTATCTTTTCAACAGGTCTCCGTTTTCATAGAGTGGGCTTGTTTAATGTGGGGTACACCCATATGGGTGTTTCTGGGGCAACCGTGTGTCACAGAACAAGTCAATTAATTACAGGAGAGTTAATGGCCTTGTCCAGGTTAATCATGAAGCCAAGTGCCACTTGCCGAGCCTTCAACTCTTCATTAACTCAAATCCCAGTTGTAACTTTCCAATAGGGCTGTGAGTTCCGACTCTCCTTAATCCACCAGATAGAAGTGGAGCAATGGCCCAGGCCGTAAATACTCTGTCAGGGCATGAAAAATAACAACAATAAGGCATTCATATTAGGAGAGGAGATTCATTCATCACGGTTTGTTTACCCCTTCAACAACCCAGTGGATGTGGTGTCACTGTCTCTGGGGAAGCAGCTGGCATAAGGAAATCGAATTGTGGTGAGAAGAATGTGAGCTTTGCAGTCAGGCGGGCCTCGTCTCAGGTCCTGGCCCAGGCCTTCACTTCTCTGGTCAGACAAATCTATATGGTAGCTCTGACTGGGCAGTACCCATGTCCTAACCCTAATTAAAGAATTTAAGGCCGGGTGTGGTGGTTCATGACTGTAATCCCAGCAATTTGGGAGGCCAAGGCAGAAGGAATGCTTGAGTCCAGGAGCTTGAGACCAGCCTGGGAAACATAAGGAGACCTTGTCTCTACAAAAAAAAAATCAAAGAAATTAGCTGGGTGTGGTGGCATGCACCTGCAGTCCCAGTTACTCGGGAGGCTGAGGCAGAAGGATCACCTGAGCCCAGGAGGTCAAGGCTGTGGTCATGCCACTGCACTTCAGTCTGGGTGACAGAGTGAGACTCCAACTCAAAAAAAGAAAAGAAAAAAGACTAAAGAATTTGAATGACAGCCCTGTTTCTCTGGCCCTCAGTGTTTCTTCAAAAAAATGGGGGACTAATAATACCTATCACAGGATGATAGTAAAGACTCCATAAGATCACACATGTGAAGGTACCTTGTATCTAGTAGGTGCTCATTTTGTCTACTCCTTTCCTATTATAACCGACTTTTTTCCAGGTTTGGGCTGATCCTCTATTAAGGTTTCTCAGATGAATGTAATGACTGACCAGCTCAGCACAAATTTTCCCCTCCTGAGGGGGGGAAAATCCCTCTTGGGAGGACTTGCCTCAGGTTGGGACCCCACCCTCCTTTCCGGACCCTTCTTCCACTGTGGCAGAGACTTCTTACTACCCCCTAATACCAGCCTTCCTTTCATTCTGTAGTAATAGAATTCCTAAGTTTACACTAAACATACAACCAGAGAGACAGAGAGAGAGAGAGAAAGAGAGAGAGAGAGAGAGAGAGAGAGAGAGAGAGAGAGACACTACATTTTCCAGCATCCCTTGCAGCTAGACATAACCATATGACTAAGTTCTCACCAGAGGGATATGAAAGGACATGAACTATACAGTTAGCAGATCTAACCTTTAAAATGGTGGCACTTCCCTTTCTCCTTGCCTACTGACTGGAAAGTGAATGAGAAGGTAGCATTACCCCATGGACGAAGATGACACTCTGAGCAACAAGATAGAAGGAACCTGGGCCCCTGGACAAGCTCATTCAACAGAGCTTTCCTGGACATCCTCCTACCTCTAGACTGTGACACCCCTGTCTGGTTACCGACGCTGTATTTGGGGGGGGCCCTTTATTATGTCAATTCAGTCTGCTCCTAGCTAATACCCCCTCCTCCCCTTATCAGAAGTCATCTTTGGATCTTGTCTTAGGCAAGAACAGTCTGGAGCCAAGATCAGCCTCGAGAGCAGATCAGATTTCATAATCTGGCTGCTTGTAAACCATATCCAGCCCACAGACATGCTTTGGTTGGCTCATACAGTGTATTTTTTAAATTTTGAATTCGTTGTCAACATTTACAAATTGAGAAGTTTCACATAAAAATCTAAATGTCTAGCTTCTCTTGAGAAATCGGAAGGTCTGGCAACTCTGAGCCCACATTCTTGCTTGGCAAAACTCAGCTGATGGGAAATTGCCTCTTCAGATGGGACCCGCATGCTTCAGGGCACCGTGGTCAGTGCCTGTGGCAGATGCCACTGTGGCCTGGAGTCTTGCCATGTCGGAGTCTGATGGCTGATTCCAACCCTCAGGGCCTGCGGGCCTTTCCCCGAGGATTTTTGCTGGCCTCATGGAGACTTCCCGGCACACGAGCGCTGTAGACCAGAGGGGCCAGAGAATTAAAGCATGCTCAGCAACCCCCAATCAGTGATGGGACTTGGTGTCGAAACACCTAGGTCCCATTCCCCAGGTGGGTAGCTGAAGGGCACTTTGGACACTGGTTCCCGGTGTCTGCATCGCAGTTGCCCACAGTGGTTTAACCACTCCAGACATACACTTTATTGACTGGCTGATGTTTCCCCACATCACCTTCCAAATCAACAACTTGCACTCAAATCCGGTCTCAGCTCCTGCTCTAGGGAGGCCCTAGTCACCAGTCTCTTTGGTTTTCCACATAATATGAAGCATTTATCATCATGCTGGGCTGTCATTTTTCTCCTGGTAGAAAAATATTTATCTGTATTTAATATTTATTACAAATGAATAGAAAATGGAAAGATATATCCAAAGGGCAATGTGTTGCAGGGAGAAAAAAATAGGTGAGAATATATATCTTCATGAAATAAAGAACATTCCTCCGTGTTTAACATTCAATACTGGTCTGCTTGGTGCACTGACGTCACCTGCCTGGCCGGCGGCCACGTGTGTTTGTCATCCCTGGTGTACAGTGCTGAAGGCTCTTGTAGAAACTCAAGAGTCATTAACCCCTGATTTTGAAGGAGGCTCTGAGATTAGCGAGGTGGACCTTTGGCTGCATTGTGAGGGAGAAAGCAGGAAGGCACCTACGTTTCCGTTGGAGGAAGGACTAAAGGGCATCTTGGCACCTGGGCCAGGCCGGGGAGCTCAAGGTGGCATGGGGAGGGGTCCTGAGAGGCGGATGGCTGACCCCTGACCTTTTCAAGATCTTGTGAAAAATCCCCTCCCCCACAGCCTCTGCGGGGCTCCGGGTCTGCACCCTCGCCAGAGCACAGCTCTGCTTACAGCGCCTCGCCTCCTGGCAGTGGCTCTTCTGACCAGGAGCACCTGGAGGGCAGAAGCTATGCTTTATCCTACTTTGTATGCCCCTGGCTGGCAGAGAGCTGGCTACATGGTGGATGCCTGAAAGAGATATCTATCTGTCTTTTGTCTGTGGGCCAGCGGGACCCTGGCGCGAGCGCACCAGAATTGCTATGTAAGCCAGGGGGCGCTGTGGTTCAATGTTAGTTTCTCAAGTGGGGAGCCGAAAAGATTTTTTTTTTATCCGTATGATGCAGTGATCAAGACTTAGGAGCCAGTGGCATGGGCTCTTTGAAAAACTAGCTCTCTCTTGCCTGGTCTACAATCGACCCATAAACGAATGTGGGTTCTGGGGTCAGTCTGCCCAGGTTCAAATCCCAGCTTCTCCACTTCCTAGCTGTGTGGCCTTGGACGAGTCATTTAACCTCTCTGTGCCGCCATAACAAATGGAAATGTAATGAGTGAACACATGTAAAAGTGCTTTGTATTGTCCCTGCACAGAGAAAGTGCTAGAAACATGTGAGCTCTTTTTGGCTGTGGTTGGAAACAACAGGATCTGGATAAAAAGAAAGCCATGGTAGAAAAGTATCTAGAAGGCTATTCTCAGCGATTGGTTTTTATTGCCCTTTTTCTACTTATTTGTAATTTCTGATTTTTTTTTTAAACAGTAATGGCGTTACCTCCATAAGTTGAAAAGTTTACGAGAGTGACAAAAGAAGAAAAAGAAGGCTGTGGCATCATACTGACCAGCTCTGCTTCCTGGGACTCCTGCACCAAGAAGTTTCCATTCTGCCTCCAAATCAACAGGGGAGGGGCTTGAGCAGAGGTTCTGTGTGTTCTCGGCGGTCTTCGGAATCCCAGGGATTCACGTTGCAAGGTCTCCTGGTGCCCATGCTCCACATGAAGCAAGTCCACCGATTCTGTTATCACCTTCCTCACGGCCAGCCACAGGGCGATCTCACCCCGACACCCCTCTAGGGCCCACCATGGAGAGAGGAGCCGGCACAGGCTTTTCTGCCAGCGGGTAGGGGTGTTCATTCATTCATTCACTCACTCGAGGACTATTTCTGTGCCAGACCCTGAGCAAGGAATGGGGCTTCGGGGAGGCTCTCACTGGATGATGCTCAGTAGTTGGCCGTGGGGTCACGTGAGGGTGGTCTTCGGCCTCCCTTCAGGTCTATGCCCTGCCCTTCCCCGCCCTGCTCCACCCTCAGGAGGCTGACCCAGGAGGGCCGGGTTAATGCGCCCCTTGCCGCCGGCTTCCCATTGGCTGGACCAGTGAAGAGCCCTGGCGGGAAATTGGAGGGAGGGGGAAGGATGAGGCTGGAGGATTTAGCCCTCTGGTCCCCTTGCTGCCTCATCTGGACCTGGACCTGTCCCTCCAACAAACGTCACTGACGGTCTCACGGTGGCCTTCTCTACATGACCTATCCTCCCAGTTCTAGTATCAGCTCCTCCCTGCGGGCCCCACCTGGCCTAGAAACAGGGCTACTGAGTGGGGGTCGACACCCTCCCTTACATCCCCTCACACTCAGCCCTTTGGTAAATCAGCCCTCCTGGAATTATTCTCATTTGAGTGGAGCATCTGTCTCCTGCTGGGATACTTATTTATTTATTTATTTTTTTGAGTTGGAGTCTCACTCTGTCACCCAGGCTGGAGGGCAGTAACACGCTCCCAGCCACCGCAATCTTGACCTGCTGAGCTCAGGCCATCCTTCTGCCTCAGCCTTCCAAGTAGCTAGAACTCCAGGCATGCACCACCATGCCCGGCTAATGTTTTGATTTATTGTAGAAATGAGGTCTCGCCAGGTTGCCCAGGCTGGTCTCGAACCCATGGGTTCAGGTAATCCTTCACCCCAGCCTCACCACAAAGTGCTGGGATTATAGGCAAGAGCCACTCTCTGACAGATATGGTTAACCTGCATTCAGCAGATGAGGAAACCGAGGTACACTCACCCCAGGAAGGTGGGAAGGAGAGGAGGTGGCACTGAAACCCAGGCGGGGTGGGTGAGTGTGGGGTGTAAATGGTTGAAGTCCTGGGGTGGTCTCTTTGGGACCTGGGACTGGGCCCCTCTGGATGCCTTCCCTCTCTTGATGCTCACCCTCTAGCCTGGAAGGGCTGTGGGAAGGAGGGGGCTTGGCAGCGGGTGCTGGGAGCAATGCTGGCTCTTTTAGCAGGCTTACCTTTCACTGGGGCTTTTCTACCATCACAGTAAAACCAAGTTCAGGGCCGGGCTCAGTTTCTGCCAGGGCCAAAGCCCACAGGGCTCATGTGTCTGCTCTGATCCAGGCAAGGGAAGCCAGTTTAGTCTGGGAACTCTCCCTTAGGGACCTCAGGGGGCTGGAAGACGCCATAAGGCCTTTTTCCCAGGGGTCCCCTCCCACTTCCCAGGTTCTTTCTCCAGATCCTGTCTTGTTTAGAAACACAATCTGAAAAGTCACTTCCAACCCAGACTCACAGTTCTCACCCAAACTCTCCACATTCACACACACACACACACACACACACACACACACACACACACAGCCATACACACACAACCTATCACTCTGCATTTTTTAAAAATGTTTTTTGAATCAGGGTCTCACTCTGTTGCCCTGGCTACAATGTGGTGGTACAATCACAGCTCACAGCTCCTGAACTCAGTCGATCCTTCGCCTCAGCCTCCCAAGTAGCTGGGACTACAGGTGTGCACCACCATGCCTGGCTAATGTTTGTGACTTTTTTTGTAGAGACAAGGTCTCACTATGTTGCTTAGACTGGTTTCAAACTCCTGCTCAAGCCATCCTCCCATCCCAGCCTCCCAAAGTGCTGGGATTACAGGCATGAGCCACTGTGCCCGGCCACACTCTACATTTTTAATGAGATCCTATAGCAATGCCTAAACTCAAAGAATAGTGGGATTTCAGGCACTGGGTAAGAAAGAAACTTGAGCTGGGCTCAGTGGCTCAGCCTGTAATCCCGCACCTTTGGGAGACTGAGGTGAGTGGCTTGCCTGAGCCCGTGGGTTCGAGACCCGCCTGGGCAACTTGGCGAGACCTCATCTCTACAGTAAATCAAAAATTAGCCGGGCGTGGTGGTGCGCACCTGTAGTTCCAGCTACTCGGAAGGCGGAGGCGGAAGGATCGCCGGAGCCCAGCAGGTCGAGGCTGCGGTGGCCGGGAGAGGCCACTGCCCTCCAGTCTGGGCGACAGAGTGAGACCCCAACTCAAAAAAAAAAGAAACTTGATTGCCTTTTTTCAATCAAGCCAGAAACATGTATGAATGACCACCCCACCTACTCCAAACCGGGGTAATTTGAAGACCAAAGGGGGCACTATGAATAACCAACCCCAGATAGCTGGAATAAATAGAAACTGTCCCAGGTACACCATGACATGGGACCACCCCACCTATGGGTAACAAGAAGTTGGAGATGAGTTTTTCTTTAGTCTTAGTATCGTGGCCAATATAGCCAAGCTAGACATTAGGCACAAAGAACCCACGTGTCCCAGAGCAGGGCTTCTGCCATGTGCTCCATTGGTATCGGTGAAGTAATGAACCCTTTTCAGAATAATGGTTATTTACTTATTTTGAGACAGGGTCTCACTCTGTTGCCCAGGCTGGAGTGCAGCAGCATGATCATGGTTCACTGCAGCCTCAACTTCCTGGCTCAGGTGATCCTTCCACCTCAGCCTCCCAAGTAGCTGGGACTACAGGCACACGCCACCATGCCCAGCGAAATTTTTTTTTTTATTATTATTAGTCATGATGAGGAGTCGCTATGTTGCCTAGGCTGGTCTCAAACTCTTGGGTTCAAGCCATCCTCTTGCCTCAGCCTCCCAAAGTGCTGGGATTACAGATGTGAGCCACCGCCCCTGATCACAGAATAATGGTTTTAAAATCCTCAAAATAAAACACATTGGGTTACAGAGAGAACCAGTATAGCTATCAAAATATTAAACAAATTTATGATATAGTAACACTGCTGCTTCTTTATTAACACGTTAAATAACATGATCTAGCAGTGGGTCTAATTACTACTGTAATTTTTAATTGGAGATGAGCATAAAATGTCATTTCAGATATCTGTGACAACCACAGTGTGATACGCGAATA